CGGGGGGCAAGCCGCCCACGAAGAGTCCACTGAACACCGTCATGTCCCTGCGCTTGGACTTGACCTCCACCCACTTGGCCTCGGCCTGGTCGATGTAGAGCGTGGTGTTGCGGAACTGGCGACGGATGCGCACACTGTGCCACGCGCCATCGTTGACAGGCGTGTCTGCCAGCAACGTGGCGGGCTCGGCGCAGAAGATGGAGAAGCTGAGCTGAAGGCGGCCACCCCGGGTCAGGATGAGCTCCAGGAAGTCGCAGAAACCCTCGTCGTCGAAGTAGAGCACGAGGCCCCTGGCACTGCGAGTCTTCAGCTGGAAGCTCATCTCGCTCTCACAGCAGGCATTCCACTTGGGGAAGCGCGTCCACTGGCCCTCGGCACCCGGGAATTCCAACCCGCTGCCCAGCTCTGCCCAGCAGCCCAGCAACAGCAGTGACAGGCATAGGAGAAAGCAGCCCCCGCGCTGGACCAGCGCCGACCCCATGCTCGGGGCTGGGGTGCGGCGGGGGGGAGCCGGGGGCGACAGGGTCGCAATGGTCCCGGACACTGTCAAGGAGAAATGGGGGTCTGCAGAGTACTGGGAGGGAGGGGGAGGTGGGAGCAGGAGGGTTGCACACTCCTTTTGCTCTTTTTTCTTCTTCTCTTCCAGCAGCCCCTTCCTCTCTCCCAGTAGTCCCCTTCCAACTGGAAAGCAGAGACCCCAGTGGTGCAGGATAGCCCAAGAACTTCCAGGCCAAAGGGCGGAGACACTTTGGAGGCAACCTTCTGAAAACGTCGGCCACCGAGGCTCAAAAGAAAAAAAAATCACGATCAAATCACTGATCCATTTGCATCCAGTGATGTGGCTCCAACAAATACTTCACTCTTCTAGGACCAACACCTGCAGTGGACCACCTGTGTGGTGCCAGCGATAGAAAAGCAGATTTGGGAGGCGACACGAAGCCAACAATGCCTTAGTATCTTTGGCTCTTGGAAAGCCTCAAGGACCCTCCCGATGCTGGCCCCAGCAAAATCGGAAAAAGAACACGAATAACTCCAGAATAACTTCAGAGCCCTGCTTCTTCTGTCATGTCACGGACTTGCAGTACCATTGATGCCAAGGCCAAATTTCTTGTGCACGCCTTCCTGGGCTGATTTCACTGTATGTTTACCAGCCCTGTCGGTAGGATTCAAACCCTGTTGTGAAACAGCCAGAAGCTGTTAGATGGTGAAATAAAATCCCAACAGCTCTTCGATTTTCTCCCTCTGCAAGGCCACACTAAGATGCCGGTATGTTAGTTGGTTGTATGTTGGTGATGCATTTTTATTTTATTTTGTCTTTTTATAAGGATCCAGAAATCTGTGGAAATTGAAATAAAAATTAAGGCCTGTAGTCAGTTATAGTAGTATACAAATCATTACTCAAGTGGGAAAGCAAATATATAACCAGTGGTTTTGTCAAACCAAAGAATTAATGCTGTTGGATACAGGTGTGTGTGTGTGTGTGTGTGTGTGTGTGTGTGTGTGTGTGTGTTCACAGTAAGGCCTAGCATTTCCTAGTATTTAATGTCACACTCCTACAGCAAGCTATTGCAACCTTGAGTTTACCATTATCTGTTCACTGGTGACCAGAATTTTGGGGACAATTTGGTCTGATTTTCTTTCCCATTGTCCATGAAAGTTTTAGTTTCTAAAATGTACAAGGAGAGAAATGGAAAGCCCTTTTAAAGGTTTTCTGATTACACTGTGTGTTAGCTACCTGGAGAATTATAAATAGAACATGAGCAGACAGACTTCAGTTAATAGCCGAATTGATAATAGGTAAGATACATCAAACTTTCAGCAGGAAGATGCTAGCTTACATTTGTATAGCATTCCTACCAATTTACTTGTCTCCCAGACAACAGGAATGGAGTGGCTTCTTGGGAGTCTTGTTAAAATTTCAAGCAAATGTATACCTCCTTTCATCAAATACATAATCTGTAATAACACAGATCAACTAACTGGAGCCAAACATGGCAATATCTATGTCTTTACTGCTATAATATTAGTTATTTCAAAATGGGTATTTAATATTCTCCCTATCAGTATAGTGATCTGACTCCTCCTCAAGTCTTTATCTGGCTGCCAGCCATTAGGATCTGTGTGGTCAGAACAGCAGTTGCCATGTATGTCACCTCAGGTGTTATGGCTCCAGGATGCTAGAATTTAAAGTCATATCTTTGAATCACTCACTGTGCTATTAAATCACTTGTTTTTATTTAAGTCTAATCTGACAGGCTTTTGAGGTAGTAAAGAAACCATAAATCTTGACGGAGGGACTGTGGATTCTTTTTAAACCAAATAACTCACATTTTGAGAAAAAAATTAAAATATCATTTGGCCATTCTAATCTAACATATCACCCTCACCATGTCTCACTGTCTCCTACACACACACACACACACACACACACACACACACACACAGAGAGAGAGAGAGAGAGAGAGAGAGAGAGAGAGAGAGAGAGAGAGAGAGACACACACACACACTCCAAATTTATTGCTTGGACACAGAGCTCACTATCCAATTAACACTTTTCCCCCCTACAAGCTGAAACTAGCTGTAATTTATGGCACCGCATTGTGGCTGCTCCTCTCTGTGTAGGGAGCTGAAAGCTTTTCTCTTCAGTTCAGAGCGATCCCTACAGGTGTCAGCTGAGAGCCATCAAGCTAGGGGATCCCACTTCAAGTTCCTCCCAGATGAAATTGATGACAGGTTCTCTTCTTTCAACACAGATACACCATGCTCAACATACACACACACACACACACACACACACACACATACACACACACACACACACACACACACACACACACCACCTAAGAGACATAATACACTAATACACTTCTCCTTACCAAATGGTAATGAATATCTCAGTTGCCTATTTATTATGGCTGATACATTCCTCACCCTCAGCTATAACAAGTCATATCTCTCCTAGTCCTGTGCCAAACCCAAAGAAAGGTGCTTTTAAAAATGATCAATAATAGCGTATTATTCAGTATACTTTCATGTTTAAGTAGGATGTGGAATATGGTAAATATTTGGCATTTAGCAAAATTAGTCTGGTCTTTCACAAGAGTAGTGCTTTGAGGCCATTCTCAGCTTGTTTCTGTCTCTGTGTCTGTCTGTCTCCATCTGTCTCTCTGCAAGTCGG